TTAATTCATCCATGACCTTGAAATGATTCTATGAATGAATCAATGAACACGTACGGATATCTGACCATCAACCCAGTACATAACGATAAAAATAGTAAAAATTATAACGAGACGAGATACATTTAATAGATATTATAATAGTTATAAATTTTCATCATCGTACGTTTATGAAAGATGTAATAATACAAAGGAGATCTGAAACAAAAAAAAATTAGATTTAGTTCTAAGATGATTACGAACCAGTCATACTCAGAATGTAATGTATTAATTAAAATTCTCATAATCAGTATAAATACGGGGGGAAACCTTGGCGCGGGGTATTTTTTATTTCTCTTTTCTCTCTTTCAATAAACGCGCGTTTTCGTGAGTGTGATCTTCTGATTTTGTAAGTCTTTTTTTTAATTATTAATAAAGTATTTATCGTTATGTCACAGCTATTAATATTGATTTTTGTTATTTTCTTTTTTTGGAATTATTACGCACATGAAGAAGGAATCGAAATTAATAGCTTAGTCACATTGGACTTTAATTCATTCTTTTACATATTCAGCCCTTCTTTTTAACTTTATCAATCACATCACATCTTTTTACATTCCTTTATTTCTATTCTCATCTCCCTGCCTTCCATACCAGCTGTATCTTCGAAATCCTTATTAAATACCTCCTCCTTCTCGCTTACTCTTCCTCATACGTATAATTCTATACGACAAAAGAAAACAGTTAAATTTCCTTGCGATAAATTAAAAATGACTGAAATAACAACAACCGTTGTCTTATCATTCTTAGCAGCTGGATTCACTTATATATCATTCACATATGTTTTCGTCCATTTTCTCTTATTAGATGGTGACAATAAAAAACAAAAAACGATAAATAGCAAAAATCATAAATCTAAAAATCTTCAGAAATCTATTTCCGATAGCAATAATAATCATCAAAGCAAACACCATCACCACCACCACAATCACAACAAAAAATCTACCGCTACTTCCACCGTCATAAAGAACACAACTAACAAAAACAGTATTAATAATGTTTCTGTTGCTTTCTCGACATTGCCCAAAGACACAAAACCCTTGCCAGGACCAAACCCCATACCAGTCATTGGAAATTTACATCAATTACATGCATCTGATCCATTGCACATGACTTTTAATCAAATGGCTCTTAATTTTGGCTCGATATTCAAAATCAATTTAGGAAATAATAAATCATTGGTCGTATTAAATGATTACAAAATGGCAAATGAGTTACTCGCTCGAAATGAAATTTATCAACCATGTGACTCGATTCTCGGTGTTAAATCTATTTCGCCAGCTATGCGAGTAATCGCACAACAGGCTCTTTCATCTAAAGTCATCGAGTCCAATTATTTGCCAATTATTCATAAAGAATCGATTAATTTGGTTAAATACTTTTATAAAAATGCCGGGATTTTAATTAATCCAGTCGACGCATTAACCCATTCAATCTCCAAAACCTTTTCATTGATTACCTTTGGTACTTCTGCTGAAAAGTTTTCTTTTGACTTTACGGAATTCTTGGAATCTGCAAACGCACTCGAACAAAAAGAAATCCAAATCGAGTCATTACAATTTCTTCGTAAAATTTCTTCGACGCAACAAACACTCGAAAACAAAGTTCATCTTTCTAAGACAAAATATGCGGAAATATCAAAACAGATAGTTGGCAGCCTGAAGAAGACTACTGCAAAAAATTCAACTAATGACAAATGCTTCACTGGAGAGATTTTGAAGTCGATGAAACCAAAAGCAGATGAAAAAGAATTTCTTAATTTGAGCAGCAATCTATTGTTTAATGGCATTGAAAACACATTGGCAGAGCTAAAGTGGGTTTTCGTTTTGCTGTCATATGCGCCTCAGGTACAACATAAAATTATACGAGAGTTATCAAGTGTTGTTGAAAATGGTAAATTTCCAAGTGTCAAAGATTATGCAAATTTGCATTATTTGCGAGCAACCGTCAAGGAAATCATGAGATTCAGGTTGGTTTATTTATTATTATATGATAAAAGTATATATACCTATATATTTTAAAACTAATTAATTTCTTTCTTTATTAGACCTGTAGGCTTTTTTTCACAGCCATATATCGTCACCAAAGATGATATCTATCAAGGATATCATATTCCGCAAAATGCTAATGTAATATTCAACACAAACACATTACATTTTAATCAAACTTTATTCGAGCGAGCGAAACGTTTCTCTCCAGAACGATACTTAGACGAACAAGGTCATTTGAAACAAAATCCTGATTCAGCCAAAGTATGGATGTTTGGCAAAGGACCAAATGCAAGTATCGGTGAATACCTTACAGAAATAACATTATCAGCCATAATTGCCCATACACTCGCATTATTCATTATTACGCCTGAAATTGATGAGACGACAGGTGACGAAAAAGAAATAAATATGGAGGGTGTGTCGAACGGGTTCAAATTGGATGCGCCGAATTACAATGTTATATTTGAATTGAGAAAAGATGTTGATCATGAAAAAATTTTCAGGGGAAATTATTAAATATAAAGGATTACTTGAATATTTTAATTTTATTTTTAGCATATTTTAAACGTTCATGTATGCAAAAATGGTTGTTTAACAGATATGAAAGATATAAATATTATTCCTTTAGTCCCTTAATGTTAACCTTACTTGAAAAGTGTATATGTATATATATGCGCTAATCAAAGGAGAAAAGTTGTAGCTGTCAAATCTCTAATTTTACTTGTTTCAAAAAATTTGTTGGCATCGATATTTGTACATACATTACGATTAAACTGATGACATATCTCCAAAAGTCTCGCGATTGTATTACGACTCTTTAACATGAGGAAAATAGTGCACCCTTTATGACGTCTTCGACGTTTCATCTTTTCATTACCGTCGTATATCAGTCAATTTGTTCCTTTTCAAGTTCCAAAATCCCGGGCTCAGATGAAAGTCTCTAATAACTCGTCAACAACGGAACGACCTAAAAAATATATAGTTATGTGATGTTTATCAAGTGCTTACAATGAATCCCACTTGTTTCAATATCTATTTCGCTGTCGCCTGGACCCCTGTAATGTTAATGAGATATCAAGTATTTGTTTCATTACCGTCAAGCTAAATGATGTCCCAGTCATCTTTAAAGCGTGTATCCTATACCATAAATTCTCCAGCGTGAGCTCTCATGCGGGGACATATCAAACCAGGAAGAACATTTACTGTCGAAACAGTGACCACAATGCGCCTTATTCTTTTCCAGTTGTTACATGTGTTAAAGACAAAAGCTGAACAATTTGTTATGAGTATGGTTGTAGCGTAGAAGAAATGGGATAAGAATATAAGGTTAAATCCAACAAAGATGGCTTTAAATTAATGATTGAACTGGGTTGATGGTCAGATATCCGTACGTGTTCATTGATTCATTCATAGAATCATTTCAAGGTCATGGATGAATTAA